TTGATGGGATAAAATATGTGCAGCAACAGCATTGGTTTATTTTTTGGAAATATTAAATACTGCAGAGAACAAAGCAGGGGATGAATTTGACTGGAATTATCTTTGGCTTTCATTTAACTACAAATCCCTTTGTTCTCATTTTAACCTCTCTGCAAATGCTAAGAAATGGAAAAACTGAGGAGAACTTCTGGAAAAAAAAAATGTATGGCTAAGTTCACAAGTCCCACACCTGTCCAACATGAGAACTGCAGGTGGACAGCCTGTCTCACGTTGGACACCCAACAATTGAAGCACTCAGATACCTGGCCATTTTTTAAAATGTGGTCGGTCTAGACACACTGACAGTGATCAGTGGGGATGGGAAAATCTTGGGGAGTGTAAGGTATAGTGAACTAAAAGGGGTATGGAAGGGAATACAGCTCCCCTTCTATTAAAAACAAAAAGGGTTTCTTGGTTTAGCAATACAGCGCTATTCTCCACAGCTCTCCCTTCTCCCAGGTTGGAGCACTGAGAATGGAATCTCCGGGGTCCATCTACTTTGCAGACACAAAAACTGTGGTGGCTAATGTTTTCAAACTGTAAATTGGCAGTTAGAGAACCTAATGGACCTATGCTAACCTAGCCCAGTTTAGGATCAGGTCAGCTGGGAGGTCTCAGAATCTTAAAACTATACAGCGTACTTATATGTACACTTCATACATCTTTGGTAGGCTGACAATTATTCTCCCATTCACTACACATCAACTCCCTCCTCCAAACTCACATCTGTTGTCACCTCCTCAGGAAATTAGCCCAGCCAGTGACCACTGTGGGGCAGTTGGGAACAGATATTTTATTTTGTAAACCACTGGAATGATTTGGAACATCAAACTGTTCAGTAATTGACCGATGTCACCTCATTAGTTGATATCATTACACTCTTCCTCCATCACTTTATTAGTCCACACACACTTTTTTAGTCAATTAGATGGCAAGTTCTTAAGAGAACATATTTATTACCTGCATATTTGCACAGGGACTAGCACAGTGTGCCCCAGTCTTGACTGACTGGTGCCTTTTGGCTCTGCCACAATGCAAATAAATAATATGCCAGAATTAAACTACTGTTCCTTTAAAACTTTAATTAATCCCAGTGAAGCCAGCTGGGCGGATTTTCGGGAAGGCGCCTGGTAAAACAAGTTGAAAGACAAGTGCAACAGGAAGGAGGCCAAAAACAAACCGGAGTACAATAGCTAGAATAAAAGGGGAACAAGGTTGAACTAGGAGAAACAAAAGAACATGGAATATTAAAAAGGGAACTATACCAAGACGGGACAAAAGGGAATCAAGAACAAGCCACGGCAGACAAGGTTTGATTGCATCTGAGTTTAAGAAACCTAAAATCTAATAAACGCAAAGGAAAAAGGGAGAAAAGAAAGGGAGGGAAATCAGTGCTATTAGAATATGTGGGACTTAATGGAATGAGGGGAAAGAAGCAGCTCTGGAAAAAGTGATGAATTGAGATTAGAAACTGGGTGGGTAAATGGGAAAACAAAGAGGTGTTGTTGCTGTTTGACAATCAAGGGAGTTTAGCAACTTTCCAAAAGAAGTGCAGAGAATCATTAGCATAAAAGAAGGGGTGGGAATAAAGAGAAAAGTGCAGGAGACTGGTAGGAAACACCCCCCCTCCCCCCAAGTTAAAAGGTAAAAATCTTGTTGTCAAGACTGATTGTGGATCATATAAGTTAAGTGACAAAAAAAAAAAAATCACTTATACTCTTGGGTAGTAGACTTGAAGAAAGAGACGCCAGGGAAAAGAAAACAGGACACAGTTGTAAGAAACCCATGCCTGGATTGGGAATTAGCCTGTGTGTGTGCTGCAATGGCTCTGGGTGTAGTCACTGGGGTTGCTAAAGTATAAAAAGAAAGGTTACACTAGGATTTGCTGAAACGTGAAGAGGATGCTGTTCATGTAGCTCAGAACGAAGAGTGCTGTGTTTGAGGAGATACTAGCAGTCATGCAAACATGCCTGGACACTTGACTTTGATATTAACTATGGGTCACGTGCATCCATGGAGCAGCTGGGCACATGAGAGTGGGGTGTACAAAAAGCACCCATTTAATCCCCTGCGTGGAAGTCTCTGAATTCCCTAGAACACAGGCACTACTCATTGCTAGCACTCCTAGCAGTGTAAGAAAAAATCTCAAAGGGGATGGGGAGAACGCAGGGGTCCCCAACCCCTTGCATTGGCCCACATAGCTGGCCAGCAATGCAGCGTAGAGTATATCATAACTCTTGAAGGAGTGTAGTGGCAGATTAACTCTGAGAAGCAAACCCAATGAGAAGAAACTGCAGCCTCAGTTATCGCAGGTAACATGAGCTTTGCTAAATACGTTCCTGTTGTACCGTTACGTGCACATTGAAATCCATTCTTTGCTGTTATTGTTCACAGTCTCTCAGTATCATGTGAAGTATATTTGTTTATTTACAGGCTTATCCATGATGTTGTATTTTAGCTTCTCTTCAAGAGAAATGAAGGTGAGGAATAGGGTGACCATCTGTCCCATTCTGACCGGGACAGTCCCCTTTTAAGCCCTGTCCCAGCCATCCCAACTTTTTTTTCCCCAAAAGGAGGCATTTGTCCCATTTGCTCTTGCCAACTGATCAAGTCAACCAGAACAAACAGGACAAATGCCCACTTTTTTGGGGGGGGAAAGTGGGGTGCGGTATGGAGGGGCAGAGATGCCAACCCCCCCACAGGGGGAAGGTAGGGCTGGGGGGCAGAGCAGCATTCCAGCATGCGGGACCCCCGCAGTGTTCCAGCAACCGGGCAACAGCCATTTTCTCTTTGGGAAATATGGTCACCCTAGTGAGGAAATGTTATTGTGACTAGGGTAGGGTAGAAGACATTGCAGGGTAAGAACATGCTGCTGCCATGGCTGCAACCTCAGCAGTGGAAGCAGGAATAGTGGCTGCAATGACAGGGATAGAACGAAGCAGGAGCAGAAGTTCAATGGTAGCAGTACAGCTCTCGTACAGTGGTGCAGGCATGTGCCCTGCTGAATATATTGGGATTATCTTGCCCCCTAGTGGCTAACCTACAAAATTCACACGGGACCAAATTAATCATGGTGTAAATCCATTGACGTCAATAGACTATGCCAGCGGTTCTCAAACTGTGGGTTGGGACCCCAAAGTGGGTCACGATCCTGTTCTAATGGGGTCGCCAGGGCTGGCATTAGACTTGCTGGGGCCAGGACTGAAGCCCAAACCCCCACTGCTTGGGGCCAAAGCTGAAGCATGAGAGCCTCAGCCCTAGGTGTGGGGCTCGGGTTTCAGGCCTCAGCCCTGGGTGGTGCGGCTCGGGCTTTGGCTTCACCCCCTCCACCCAGGGCGGCAGGGCTTGGACAGGCTCAGGCTTCGGTCCCCGCTCCTGGGGTCATGTAATAATTTTTGTTGTCAGAAGGGGGTTGTGGTGCAATGACGTTTGAGAACCCCTGGACTATACATTGCCTCTGATTTTGAAAAGTGATATAAATCAGAATCCCTGCTTAACTGCCCTGGCAGGGAGCCTAATCAGCTGTGATGTAAGAAGGTGTAAATTAAAGTTGCCTTTAAATCCCTTACTTTAATTTATATGTTTTACACACACACACACACACACACACACACACACACACACACACACAAGTAAATCACTTTGCTTCCTATAGCAACGCTTCTGGCTGATTAGTATGCGAGTTAAACAATCTGGACTCCCTTAGATTTAGTAGACGTAAATAGACTATTTAGAAAATATTACATCTGCACAGAAAAATGTAGATAAAGGGATTTTTTCTGTTGTGGAAATTTCAATGGAAAAATGTCTTTTCATCCCTAAATTGAAAATTTTGACTTTCAGGTTTTCCAGTGAAAAAAGCATATATTCCACACACAAATCTGCCTAGTTGAAAAAAATATATTTTCCATCCAAAACATTTATGGAAAATTTTCAATCAGCCCTAGGTATAAGTTATACATTGGCAAGAAGGTGAAAGTTGAAATAAATCTATGGGGATCTAAAACGGTGTAACATATGCACTGAGGTGACTGAAAAAGGTACCAGCTAGATTCCCAATAGATTTACCAGCTCAAATTCAGAGGTCATATTGAAGATTATGTAAGCTACAGTCAAGACTTCCTAAAGAAATTTAAGTTAGGGAGTTTACTTCCATTGACACATCGCCTCTAAATTTGGCTCACCCACACTCATTTAGATTTATGCCTGAATTAGGGCCAATGGATTTAAACTGGGTGTTAATTTGTTCCATAAACCCCAATTCATGAGAGTGCAAAAACATCTGTTTTTCAGTTTCCGTATGCCCTATTTAGGGATAACTAATAAACAACAACTTTCACTTACATTTTAAATAATGGGACAGGATCCAAAGCTGACTTCTGTGGAACCCTGCCAATTTACACCCACCGAGAATCTGGTCCAGTGTCCTTTCCATAGGTTACTACTATGATCCTTCTCCCCTCCCGTGGTAGCCTGACCTCCCCTGCACTTTGGGAGATCTGCACATGAAAGCAGGAAGAGTTGGGAGGAGACCATTAATAAATAGACAAACTGTGTCCCATTTTGCTCTCAAGTAGGAAATGAAAGTTAAAAAATTCCTCCACCATCAACTGACTGAGAAAAATTTTCCATGGTCAACTTGGTTGTCATTCAATACTAAATGAAAGAATAATGCAACTGAATTCCATAGCTAAAACTCTGACAAGCAGTCCTTTGCAGTCCCTTAGAAAAATCCTGTAAAACAACCACAAATTGAATGGAATTTCTATAAGTCTGTGCATTTCAACAAGAGTTGTTCACTTACACATTTTTAACAGAAGGAGGCACTCTGTTGTTTTCAGTGTCCACAAAAGTTTCTTTAGTGTCTGGACTTTTAAAAATAATTAATTGAATTTTAAAATAGCCTTCAGTTCCAGTGAAGAGGACCTGTCTTCTATTTAACACACCATTTCCTTCACCATATTTTAGTTGGCCAGGTCATGGCTTGCTGGAAGGAAATACGAAGCAGCAGCTGGATTTATCCTACCCTGGTCCTCTGCATTTATGGATTTTTCTCCATGATGAGGCCATCAGAACCTTTCCTCACCCCTTATCTAACAGGACCAGATAAAAACCTGACCATTGATGAGGTATGGCTATACACTGCTTTCCCATTATATGGAATAACAAAATACTGAGTGTACTTTATTCTTCAGAAAGAAACTATAAGAATCTCATTTACTCTCTGACATTTATTACAGAAAGATACATGCATGATATTTCCCATGTGAAAGATTAGGAGCTCAATCCTCATTTCTGCCCTAAAGGGCCAACTGAGAATTCCCTGACAGAAGGTAATATTCAGGGGGCAAGTAGACAGCTTATGTTTATTGCCTTAACATTTTTAGGGTTCATAAAATAAAGTTTTCCCTATTAAACAGTAAACAGTACAGTATAAGATCTGGGCATCACGCATACTTATATTGCTATATTTTACACATTGAATTAACAGCAATGAGCATGATCCTTTCTCCAAGTTCATTCAACAAAAAAAAAAAAAAAAAAAAAAAAAAAAAAAAAAA